GTCAGCCAGTGTTGTACAGTGTTGCTTGGGAATGAGGTTAGAATTGATTTTTAGTTGAGTCAATTTCAGTGCATGATAGTGCAGGTTTTTCATCAACCACTTGGCACTTAACTGGGTTATAGGCAATTGTGCAAAAAGACCCCGAGTCTAAGGTAAAATGTGCTCAGAATAGCTAACAAATGACAAAGGCTAGAAAGGGAATAATACTTTGGATATGCGATATGCATATCGCATACATACATATATCATTTATCATCTTTTAGCTATCATATATTTTCTATTATATTTTATCTATCTTCTATGATCTATCATTTATTATCTATTATATATTATCTGTCATCTATAATCGATCATCCATATCTATATCTTATATATCTTGCATTTGCAATTTTAATATTTAAAAAGTCAATTACCATAAATAAACCCTATTGATAATTCCTTATCCTTGGCTTGGCATCGATATTTATAAATATTCCTTGCCATTTTTACCACTGACCTTCTACATCTAGTTTGACATTCGAGCGCACGTCAATGTCTCAATAGTGTCAAGCGCTGCGACAGCATCACAAATTGAAGTCCATTAAAAATTACTCTACTCTGAGAAATTGCTAAAAATAAAGCAAAAACAAAAAAAAAGAAGAGGGATGACGTGCCGTAAGCTGTGCGACAGCCAGAATTGAAGGATTTCGCAGCTAGCGAGGGAGAAAATATGAGCAATGGGGTAGAGAACGGAGGGCAAAGCACGAGCGTAATCCCATATCAATAAAGAGACAAATATCACGTATGCTATAAATAGTTGAGAAATAACCCTTGAGCATTATCGTAAATCTCAGTTTATCAAGTAGTGCTTGCAATAGTAAGCGACGGTTATAGCTGAACGTGCTCGTCTAAGATTAGAAAGTTAATAATAGAAAAATTCATTATTTCTTATCTATAACAATTTCATATGATTTGTAATTCAAAAACGATAAACGATTTTTAATTGATATACATATATATCTTAAATCGATAACCCTTGGATTGAAGTACAGTGAAATGTGTTTTAGTCCACAGCTTATCGATTTTTCACTATTTTGTTTTATCTACAATTCATTTCAAGATTTGCGATAAATTTTTATTTATGGTCTTGCACTGACCTACGAACGCTGTCAAGCAACTAATATCAGTTAGTGCTACGATATTATCTATTAATTTGTTATCTTTGTGGAGTAAATGATTTTGTAATATCTAAAATAAGCCTATCTAAGGCCAGAAAATTAAATTCATCATAAATTACTGCCTGGGCTGTGTATATATATTTTTTATTTTATTTATTTATTTATTTATTTTTTTTTTTTTCTGCTGTCCATTGTCTTTCGTTTGGGCCATAAAATATTTATGACAATTTTGCATTCACATTGTCTCTGATGGCGTTTACACACGATATCAAATGATTAGTCATATTTGTCTACTACTTAAGCCCAGGGGGAGCCTCGAGGGTTCGTCCACACTCGTATAATTGTTATGCAATGCCTATCAAAAAGTAAATCAACTGTATATGAACAGTCCAAATAACTGCCTAGTTGACTAGCTTGACTATGCGATTGTCAGAGAAAGAGAGAGAGAGAGAGAGAGAGGGAGAGGCGTGTGCTGTAGTTTACCCATATTTGATTCTATATTTAGGGCTGGCTGGGGCAATTTACTTGGCCATCTAGTAGCTACCCATACACGCCATATAGGGAATGGGTCGAATCGATCGATACGCATTTAGACTGTAAATATACGGCTTGAAATTGGAAATAATGAATGCAACTGTTACTATAAATTGATGGCACATCAATGAAAAGAATGATCAATCAATTGGATTATCTCAACTGTTGTATTACGATTTCCACTTGTTATTAGAATAAAATATGTGTTTTTTAGTATATTTAACTGGTTGTTTTTCAAAATCTTTTCGCTATTTCTAAAGAAATTTATATATGTATATGTATGTCTTATATATTGATATATTTAGAAAATTTCATAACAATCTTTTGCAGCCTATAAAAGGTTTAGAACATTCACACTTCAAATACTTTGTTATTGCATAGAATGATTATATAATATTATATCTATGTAGTTTCCAATATATTAACTGCAGTCAGTATAAAGTATATATTCCAGTAACTATACTTAACGGTAGTCATACCCTTGAATGCCCCTCAAATAACATGTTATTATAAAGCAGTACAATTATTTTTCGCATCATATATAAAAGGCAGTCACACACGCAGCGTGTGCGCAATGCGTGAAAATGATTGATTTGCTGAGCGCTTTAATTAGCAACAAACTAGAGCACGGAAGCTTTGGCTAGGCAGTGGATACATATATAAGAATCTATGTACATATATACTTTGTATATGTATGATATATTTATATAACTTCATGTATAATAAATATATAAAGGCTTGATTTATTAGCTTTCATTCAAATATGAAGAAGAAAATTATCTAAAATTTTTTATCTTTTGTGATAGTAATCAAACAAAATAAAAATCAACAAAAAATTAATAAATAATAATTATTAAAATATAAAATAAGAAAGATAGTAATAAAAACCTATTAAAATCCATTTTAATAGTTTTAGGTACGAAACTTCAGTTGTAATGGTTTCTATTCATAATTAAAAAGTTAAAATTTTAAATTTTAGAAAATTAATATAAAAATTTTGTAAATTATATTTTATTAAATCCTAATATTAATTATTCTGAAAAATGTATATGAAATATAAAAATTCTATAAAAAGTAAAAATAATTTATTATTTATTAAAACAGTTATATTTTATAAAAATTGTTTGTTTTATACTTTTTTTTTTTTATATATATTTTCATTTTATTTTTTCTTAACTCACCCCAACTGGAACCGGTGCGTCCGAGGCATTGGCTAGTTTCACTGTTCCATATAAATTTTCTGAAACCCTCCCATTTGCCCATCTTTGGCGGTGGCGCATAGTATTCACCAATCTTCTTGTCGGCCATTGTTGATGTTGGTTTTTGGTTTAGTTTGGTTTGATTCTCGGTTTAGCTTGCTGTTGGCTTTAAGTACGGTTTGCGATACGTTTGCACCAGGTCTAAGGAGGGTGTCTGTCTGTTTGTATTAGGCTAGTTTTAAACTATTTGTTTTATTTTTAGGTTTTTGTTCTTAATGCTTAGGTTAAACGTTATGAATATTATTAAGATATTAATTATTTATGTTATATTTGGTTTTTTTTTGTTATATTTTTGTTTTTTTTTTGTATATTTGTCTTAATCAACTGCGTTGGTACAACATTTTTAAATGGGGTTTTTGTCTGAATGTTCGTAGCAGTATTGTGTTAAGATTTGCGCTAAATTTATTTGGTTACTGAAATTAGAAATAAATTATTGAGTAAGATGGAGTTTTTTTTTTTTTTTTTTTTTTTTTTTTTTTTTTTTTTTTTTGCCACCTGTTGGGTAGAGAAGACCAGGTGAGACCTACTATTTTAACATTAAAATATATATAAATATATTTATATATATTATATATATTTATGCTTGTTTAAGTTGCAAGCAATTTCCTTAGGATTGCATCGTTCTCTAATTTTATTCGAAAATGTATTAAAACTAATTATTAGTTTTAATTACATTTTATGATTTCTTAATGATATAAAATACAAGTTGGGTGTTAAATTTGAACTGCGAAAACTTTTGCTCATATTCAACTGCTTATATAAACATTAAAATCTCATTTGGCTTTTGTCAAAACGAGCAGAAAGAAACGAATCAGTCTTTGTCCGCCTTGAAGTTTTTTTTTTTTCGTTTTTCTTGTTTTAGTATGTGTGTCCCACAAGGACACAATTTGAAAACTGTTCGAAAATACACTTTGCCGTTGAATTGTGCAACTGTTAAAAAGTTATTTACACTCAGTCTGAATTTTAGTGAATTTTAGATAAATTTAGAACAATTAATTCTTGCTAATTCGATAAACTCTTTGTCATTTACGTGAAAACAAATTGCAGTCGCCTGCCGATTTTAGCCACACACTCTGCCAACTGTTATGTAATCTCGAGCGAGGAGCGTTGGAAAAAAGCATCTAAAGCTTGGCCCAAGCCAGTCAGCGTATGCGCACTGCGAGAGAGCAAGACGAAATAAATGCAGAGCGAATTCAAGTGAGTGCAAGCATGTGTGAGCTGCAAAACGAGAGACAGAGAGAGCATAAAGTGAGCCTGGAACAAGCATTGGAAGTACTTTTCCGTTTCTATTGTCTACTCCTTTCTCCTTTTTTGCTGCAGAACAGATTTCGGGCTCGCCATACAAGTTGACAGCTGGGCGCCATCTTAATGACAGTTAGAGTAGCGCTCGGGAATGCTGAAGCAGCCCGTTACAGCGATGCGGGAATCGTCAGCAGTTAGGTTAGCTTATGGCCATGCTAAGCGGCTTAACTGCTGCAGCTTTAAATACACCACCGGCCATGTACACAGACACACACACACACACACACACACACAGAGAGGCATACTCATACATAAGCTGACAAAGTTATGTAAATTGTATGTTAATTTTGCAATATGATATGCGCTCCACCTCTGTTGTTGGTGCAGCTAAAAATAATGTTTCACTAACACATTGAAGCTGCTCTCTCACGCATACGCGTAGCTTGACTTACTTTCTGAATGCTGCCGCCGGCGACGTCGCTGCCACATTGCGCAACGCGCGTCCGTGGCGAAGGCGAAAAAGAAACGGCCTCGGCTCTATCTATGGCTTGTGGCTTGTGTAGATATAGCTATAGCTATAGCTATAGCTATGGCTATAGCTATATAAATGCCTGTGGCTATGTCTGTAGTTGGGCGAGTCTTTTAGCTATGGGACAGGAGGCGCAGAAATGTAGGCAATACTCAGTATTCTTTTTTTTCTCATCTCATTTAATGAGTACTTAATGCAATTCTGAAGTTTTCATTTATAGTGTATAGCCCAAAGTCTCTCGTAGTTCGAATTTCAAAGTTTATATAAGCATATTGATTACACAAGCTATATATGTATGTACATACGAATGCACTACATTTTCACTAGCCGAAATGAGCTAAAAACGAGTGGCAAAACTATAAAGATATTTAGCAAAATTATATTCTAGCTTTTTAGTTAGTTATATATTGGAATTAAGCCTTTAGAGGTTTTCAGATCTTTCAAAACATTGGAAATTGCTTGATTACATTTTTTAATTGTATTAAATTTTGAATTATATTTGATCATTATTTTAATATTAGTTTTGTTTCTTTCTTTTAATAGTTTATGTTATGTTATATTAACAGCAGCATGAAAAAAATATCGAATTTCGGTATGTATATAAGTTTTACAAGGATAACATTTCTTTTTTATGCTGCTGTCACAGTGTCCTTATCGCGTTCTTTGCCGACGCTGCTCATATAATCACTCGAAAAATTGTCTCTCTTTTGTGTTTTGCATAATCTTTTATTTATGGATTGTTGAGGTCGTGAAACGATTTATTTTGTTGAAATTTTTTTACACTTTTGCTTCATCACCTCGAGAATTGAATTCTTTTAATATTTTTAAGCTTTTTGATTTTTTTATGTAACCAACGTTTTGTGTAAATACATGAAAATTTGTTGTATTTTCCGCAACGGCGCACCAACAGCAACACACATACAGATGGATTCTCTTGAACGCTGCTTTTCAGCTTCCTCTTCTTCTTCTCTACGCAGACATGCACATAACTCTCTTTATATATATGAGTGCATATACATATATATATTTTTAACAAAAATATATATATCTATGTGCCGTTAATCCGCCAGCGAGTACGAGTAGCAACCGTCCACAGTTAAAACGCCAATGATAGTGCCAGTTCAACGTTGAGCTCGCCAGAGCCACAATTGCTGCAGCCGTGAGCGAAACGCTCGGCTTCTGTTCGGCTGCGCTTCGGCTTTAGTCGTCTCGCTCGCTCGTCTTCGCACATTCCAAGGCGAATGTGTGACACACACAGACAAGGCTGGGGCTGTGGGCGAGCAATTGCGCATGGAAATACACAATCAGAGCTTATTCTATATTTCTTTTTCGATGTGTGTGTGATTTTTTTTGCCGCCTTGCAGATTTCTGTGTATGTGTATGTGCGTGTTTTTTTTTTTCTCAGCTGGGTGCCGTCGCCGTCACTGGAACGACAGACTCGCTTGCTAGCGCTGGACTTTCGGCTTGTGGGTGGCGCCATTGCGGTCGGCACTGAGTGCCGGTGGTGAGCGCTGGAGAGCAGCAAACAGTTGGGCTGCAAGCTTTCAAGGTTTCAGGCGTTCCTACTGCTGTTGCTCCCGTGGCGGCGTCAACGGCTGCGTCTGCTGCTGCTGCTGCTAGGATTTGCAATTGGCTTCAGTGGCTCTCGAACTGAACTCGTGCGCTGCATGTGAATGCTTCTAGCTCTCTATGTGCTTTTCCAACTGTACGCTCGGTTATCATGGGGCTTTAGAGTCAAGCGTTCTTATCAGAATTTCTGTGTTTCGTGTACAAAATAGCGATTAGTCAGTATTCTCTTATAGAGCATAAATAAATAAATATTAATCAAAAGTATAAATATGTATGCATACTCGAAGGTGGTTTGAAAGAAACCTGATACCAATTTATTTATGTCTTACTTTTATTTTCAATGCACCTCTAAATTATCATAGACTACCCTCGCACACAAATTTATGTAGCTCAACATTACATTCCCCCATAAGTATTCCTCACTTTTAATTTACTTACTAAGCTTATTGAAAAGCTCTAACGAACAACGAAAAAGTGCTGTTTCTAGACCTACATTTCGCTAGCAGCTCTCGCTTACAGTTAACTTAGCATGGATTTGAATTTGCCGCACATTGAGAACGCCATAAGCTGGGGTAAAAAGCTGGCCGTTCCAGGGCGAATAGAGGCGCAGTTGCTTCCAGTCAGTTTGCCGCAAGCTTGCGCAGTAAAAGCGCAGCCAAAAGAGAGAGCGAAATAGGGAGTGAGAGAGAGAGAGTGCGCTTGAGTGAGCGAGACAAAAATCGGAGTATTCCAGTAAAATTTAGTAATATAATATTTATTGATTACTTCTGCTGCCAAAGTTTTCCACCAACCGAAGAGTTTTACTCCCAACTAGCCAAAGCCAAAGCCGGAATATTTGCAAATTATATAAACCAAGAAAAAAAGACGGAAAGGAAAGAGATACAAAAACTTAATGGCCCACTCACATCACATCAAAAAGGGGGGCTGCATTTGGGGATGCCTTAGGTCTTTTGATTATTCGTATATTATTTCTCCCACATTCAATTACGTCATATCTCAGCTGTTCTGAATACGCGACGCTTGTTATACAATCGACTGCGGCTCTTTTAGCTCTCCGCCACCTCCGCCCTAAATCTCTCCAGCACACACACAAGTGCATGCAGCCAGGCCTCATCTCCTCCTTCGGCTATTTTCAGTTTTTAATGCTTACCTATTTATATGGCTGACATTTATTTAAGCTCTTGCTTACTGTTAGTTTTTTTAGTTGGTGTGTGTATGTGTATGTGTGTACGTGCATTACAGTTTATTTAGCTCTTGCTTAAGCTCTTGGTCTGTTTATTGCGGTTAATTTCCTTCTTACGGTATCCCATAATAGTGTCACACACACACACACAAACCGTCTCAAATAGTTATTTGGATTTCTTCTATATACACAGCATTCACTCTAGATATTTGAGTGTCCATTTCGTTCTTAATAACTGTTATTGCAAAGCTTCTGTTTAGCAGAAGCTTTGATAGCATTTTTACGACGAACTCTAGAGATAAAGAAAATAAATATTGCGGTACAGAATCTGGTTCAGATTCAGATTACACACATACAGATACAAATACACGGTAGATACACACATACTGATGCACAGATACAAATACAGACACAAATACAGATACAGATAAAAATAGACACTGCATAAATTAGGCAGAAGCAGACGACAGGATATGCATGCACTCACATATATACTCACACAATCACACATACTCACACACTACTAATCCACGCTCATGCACAAGTTCGCCTGAACAATAATAGAACAAGGCACATGCTCCAACGGTTAATGCAATTACATGTTAGATAGCAAACAGGAAATTTAGAGAATCGGATAGAGGAAGTGTGCGTGAGAGAAAGCGTGCGAGTGAGCCATCGAGAGGCAGAGGGAGAATGAGAGAGAAAGAGGAAGAGGGTGAATGAGGAGGAAATCAAACAAAATGTTGCAAAATGTCGCTCACATATACATAGATTACGTATACGTCGCATAGTCACGTTATGTTTCATATGCTCAGCTAATGCGAATTGCTTGCATGCAACTCTATACAATAAAAAACAATAAAACTAAAGAAGATTGCAAATTTAAATGTTGCCAGCCATAGAACAATAATTCAACTTTCAGTCATTTCTTTTTGACCCACATTGGCTGTCAAAAGTTTGCGCTTGAAATGTTGACAAAGGAAGAACAAGAGTGCGAATCGCTGCAGTCGCTGAGGGGAATTGCTGCATATTTGTAGGCGAACACCAATTGCAAAACTCATTCAAGGGTGGATCATGAGCACTGCAAGGGGGAGGGGAGTTGAAGTAAAAGTTATAGCTGAACTTAAAGCCTTTGCCTTTGTGTTAGACAAATGGAAATTTTATGGAAATATTGCTTAGACTTCTACGATTGCGATGTCTATTAAGACAGTATGTAAATTTTTGTCTTGATAAAGATTTCAAGCAAAGGAGGTCAACTTGTGGAGCCCCTAGCATATAAAGTGGAAGATGGGCTCTGCTATGGACGATTATCTGTTTGTATAGCCGCTGACCAATTCAGTTACAGAAAACAAATATTTAATATACGTATTTAACTTTTTATCGTCTGAATAAAAATATGTCATAAATATTTTTAAAAATTGGATGATTAAATAAAAACATAATTTAGTTATAAATCAATATTTTTATTGATTTCTAATATATATACATAGATGATATACAGCTGCGCTTAATACTATTTATCTACAATCTACACTATAATGTATGTATATATGCATTGGATTAAGTCTTTTGCGCTCTATTAATAGAATTCTATAAATGTACTTTAATTCTAAGATTTGTTCAGTACTCGATGGTAACGCACTTGGTCTTCAGATACTCGTTCAGTGCCTCCTGGCCGAGATCCTTGCCGAAGCCGCTCTGCTTGAAGCCGCCAAAGGGAGCAGCCACATCTGTTTTATTATAGACATTGACGAAGACGGTGCCGGCCTCGATGCGATCGGCAAAGCTTAAGGCTTTGCTAATGTCCTTGGTGAAGACGCCGCTGGCTAGGCCATATTCCGAGCGATTAGCGCGCGTCATCACCGAATCGACGTCGCTGCCATTGAATTTGGATATGATCATGATGGGACCAAAGGATTCCTCCTGTGCTATGAACATATTGTCCTCGACATCTGTGAACACGGTGGGCGTAAAGAAATAGCCCTTCATATTGGGCACCCGACAGCCGCCATAGACGAGCTTGGCGCCCTCGGCCACACCGCGTTCACAATATTCGATCAATTTATCCATATGCGCCTTATGATTCTGTGGTCCGTGCGCTGTGGAGCGATTAAGCGGATCGCCAATGGTCATTGAGCGCAGATCCTTCAGGACACGACGCACAAACTCATCATGAATGCGATCCTCAACGAAAAGACGGCCAGCCGCTATGCAGTTCTCACCTTTGTTGAAGAAGACAGAGGACATGCCCTGTAAAGAAAGAATGGAGTTAATTAATAAGGGAAGCAGAAGAAATAAGTAAGACAAGTCTAACCAGAGCTACTATCGAGATCATATAGCTCTTTATATCTGACAGAGAACTACCTCCCATAACAATCAAATGTCTCTACTTACATGCTTTACAGCCTTGTCTAGATCGCAGTCGGCGAATATGACCAAGGGACTCTTGCCGCCCAGTTCCAACGAGCATTTCTTCAAATTGGAGTCCGCACACGATTTCATAATGTGTTTGCCAATGGGCGTGGAGCCCGTGAAGCCCAATTTGCGCACCAAGGGATGATCGGCAACAGCTTGACCCGCATCGGAGCCTTTGCCGGGCAGCACATTGATCACACCCGGCGGAAAACCGGCCAAGACCGATAGCTCGGCGAATTTCAGAGCAGTCAGAGGACACGTTTGAGCTGGCTTGATCAGGCAGGTATTTCCGGCCGCAATGCACGCAGCCATTTTCCAGGAGAGCATCATCAGGGGATAGTTCCAGGGAGTGACCAGACCACAGACCCCAATTGGTTCCTTGCGCGTAAATGTCAAGACATTATTGGGTCTAGCCGGATTCACGGGTATCGTATTTCCCTGAATCTTATCGCACCAGCCAGCGAAGTAGCGCCAGGCATCAATGGACATGCCGATGTGGGTCTTCAACGCCAGGGTGTAGACAGCGCCCGAGTCAACCGATTCAATGGTAGCCAAATCCTCTTTGTACTGCTCCATCAAATCGGCCAGTTTCAACATGAGTTGGCCGCGTTGCCTGGCCGAGACCTGCTTCCAGGAGCCAAAGAAAGCCTTGTGAGCGGCCTGCACCGCCTTATCCACATCATTGGCACTGGCACAGGCCACCTCGCAGAGCACCGTCTCATCGGTGGGATTCACAATCTCCAGCACACGATTCTTCTCGGCATCCACAAATTCGCCATTGATGAAAAGCTGTGTGGGCACTCGAATGTCGCGTTTGTTCGCCTTCAGCTGGAAGCCCTTGTACTCCACCTGCTTGCCGCCGGCACCGCCGCTACCCTGACGCAAGTTGCGAACGAGCTGGTCGAAGAACTCGTCGAAAACGGGCGCCATAAACACATTCTCGTTCTCCAGCGGCACATCAAAGGCGTCCTTGACCTCCTCAACCAGACGCACCACGTCCATTGAGCCAGCGCCAGCGGCAAAGAAATCCGTAGCTCCTTCGATGGGCGCCTTTAGGATGGCCTGCCAAATGCTCGCCAGCTGCGTCTTCTTGGCCAGCTCGTCCTCGCTGAAGTCTGTTATGGGCTGATGCTCAGCCTGCTTGAACCAATCGCTGGCATTGATCATTTTGGTGCCACGCTTGATGCGACGCACATTGACGAAGGCGCCGTCGGTGCCCTCGATCAGGAGGCCGCCCTCGTGCACCCAGGCGGGCTTGGCCAAGCCCTTCAGCTTCAGCGCTTTGCCATCCTTGACGGGTCCCGCCGAATAGAGATGGGCGCCAAAGAAACGCACCTGCTCCTCGGTGCCATCGTCGAGCACCACGGTGGCTACCGCTCCAGGCACCGAGTCCAGGCCACGCACGAAATTGAAAATTCCTACAGCCGACTGAGCGAGGCAAAGCTGTTGATTCTCCACCTTGAACATGGCTGGATCATAGGTGGCGCCCACCTCAGTCTGGACTATCTTGGGCGCTGTGCCATCGGCCACCATGTCGACAGCCAAGCCCATGGCCTTGACGCCCTCTGGGTAGAGGAATCTCTTGTAGATGGTGTCCAAGGTGTCTGTGGGCTCGAGATTCGTTTGACGCTGCAGCAGCAATGGTCCTGTGTCCAAGCCATCATCGGCCCAGAAAATGCTGAAGCCGGCGACCTCATCGCCCTGTGGAGCAATTGAAGATTAGGATTATGGATTTCACTTAGAGTGTAAAGAGCTCACCTCAATCAGTGTCCAGGATATGGCGCTGGCACCGCGATGCCTGGGCAATATGGATGGATGATAGCAAATGCTGCCCAGGCGAGCGCCATCAATCACCTCCATCGGTATAAACTGCGAGCAGAAGGGCAGCACATTCAGCTCCGCCTTGACCGATCTATACTGCTCCAGCACCTCGGGCAGCGGCACGCCCTTGCGCCGCCAGCTGGCAAACTTAAAGACGGGTATATTGTGGCTGGCAGCTGTCGTGGCCAGCACATCCTCGCGACTGCCCTTGTCTGGTATGGTGAACACGCCCACCACCTGAAACTTCGAGCGCTCCAATATCAGCTCCAACACATCGGCAGCAAAATTGCTTTGACCAATGATCGCAATGCGTAGATTTGACTGTAAAAAGTAATGATATCGAAACGGAACACGCATTATAAACTAATCCCAAAATCAGTTGAGCTGATTCATAAAATATTTATATGTATGTATATATAAAAAAAAACCATAAATAATTAAATTTCAAATTTTATACATATTCACATCAAATTTGTCTTCTACTCAAAAAATATAAAATTTGTCTTCTATTCATTGTTACGCACAACTCGGAAAGAGCTAAAAACAATTTTACTTTAATTTGTTGCTGGTGCTCGATTGAAAGTAAATCCATAGTAAATTTATTGAGTCCAAAAAATAGAACGAAAATTTAATATACCCAGATGGAAATGGAATACGAATTACAAGGGCGGTGTCATATCAACTAATAAATCATTTTGTATAGCTGATAATATTTGTCTAAAATAAATGATTGTGTATCGAGGAAGGTCAGGAAATTATATAGACATTATGGAATAAAACTTAATTTATATACTAATATATGTATATATCTATTAATTATATACGAGAAAAATTATTATTATATATAAAAAAAGGAATTTATTTCAAAAATATATAAAAATAACTGAATTTCTTAGATAATTCAATTAATTGCATAAATATGTAAATTTTTTATTAATTTTTGTTTTTATAAATTAAAAATTAACACTATTCCACAAACAACAAACTTGTAAGATTTTTAAGTAAAAAATGAAGCCGAATTATTTTTTTTTAATCCTAACTGAGAAAGAAAAGGAACTACTAAATATTATATACAGACATTGCCAAACTATTTATGTATATATTTTAATGACAGTTATATAAATTTGTATACTAACACTCATGATTGTGCACTTTATATAATTTGGTCTCTTCACACGCTTTGAAAACAGTTTGATTTATTAATAATTTCCTCAGACTTGCTTATCACTTTGGCAATACTTTCTCCACTTCAGTTTCACTTGTTGATCTATAGAATTTTAGTTTTTTACTCTGATTATTTAGAAGAAGCCGACTGCTAAGCGCTAGAGCAACTTCTCTTAACTGAATCGCATCAAGTGTGCGGCTCGTATTTATACCTAGAGCCCGGGCAAAATATTATCAGCTGTTTCTAGCAATAACAAAAAATATAATAAATATATATGTATGTATATATTTCAGCATAGGCATGCACTCAGACTCGCACACTTTTACTTTTTCAATATTTGAATGAAAAAAACAAAAATGAAAAAAAAAAAACACAGTTCGCTGGACATTTCGCTTATCAGCTACGTAAAGCTTCAGAAGGTAATTTTGGACAAGCACAATGATAAGGCTGAATTCGGATGTGGAGGCCGACAACAAGTGGAAAGTTTGGTACCAAACACCTCGCAGCAGATTTTTAGTTTTGTTTGTCGCGGCATGTGTTTTGTATTGGATTACTTAAAATTTGAGTTATGTGCGGGTATTCCCTAGAATTATTTGAACTCTAGATTGACAAACAGCAAATCACAAATATATCACATTCTGTAAATAATTTCCGGCTTGAACTAGTTATTGAGGCAGCAAACTGTAAAAACTATCAGCGATTGGTGTGAAATGTATTATTTGTTAAGGGGCGATTGCTTATAATCACATAATCAGACAACGGCTCTAATTGCCGTTAATATATAGATTAATATAAAGATTTACTATAGATTTTTTTTTTATTTTAAATAATCATCATTAGTGTAAAATTCTCTCGATCGGCAATAATTGAACAAGTCATAGTCAGACGAAGCTGCTAATTATTTGGCACACATTTTATATTTGATGCCAAACCCAATCTCTAATTAACAAGACTGGTTAATTTATTTATAAACTATTATATTTTATTTCGCATAAATATACATTTTTTTCTTCTTTCTGCCAGATTTTTCACCAAATATAGAAAACGAGCGACGAGTATATAAGGGGACTATAATAATAATTCATTATGATAAATATGTTTATATTAGATTTGATATATATGAAATGAAGTTGTATTTCGTTTTAATATATTTTGTTTCTTTTTATTTTGTATATAAAAAAAATGCTTGATTATGGTTATTTATAGTTTATTTATTTATTGTAATTTCTTTAAGCATTATTCAATTCATAATTCTCGTTTTCTTTATTATTTCCGTTAGTTCTACTACCCATAGACCATCCTTACCAAGAAAATCGTTTTCTATCTTCATTATCTTTTCTGTTATTATTATTATCATTACTTTTTATAATATAATTAGCTTTCTTAATGTGGATTATTAGTATGCTTATTATTATTTTTTATTGTAATATTCATTATTACTTTTCTTATTGCTATTATCTATATTTTTCTTTCTCTTTATAGCGAACACTACTGTGAAATAAGTGTTATCTGGTGAGTACCATATATTTAATATACATGTATATATGCTTAAATACCACTCAATATAAATCCATACCCATACCCAGAGTTAATTTACATTGACTATACACGAATCTAGAATTTTAAGTTCTACCAAACACTATCTCTGTTAATTGATTTGTTTTGTTCGCGCGTAACGCTTTTTCCATTATAGCTAATTATTTTTGCATTTAATTAGCGAACATATCAAATTTGATTAATCTAAAAATGTAGCTCGAGTCGCTATATTTAGCCAAGCTCTGTAGTATTCATTGACACATTCTGTAGAGAACATGTTATTCGCTCTGCATCGCTATATCAAGTATTTTGCTGTCTTGGGCCTGGTACCGTGGGTGACCGAAAACTCGCCCAAACAGCATTATCAACAGATCTATACACTAATCATAGTACTCTCGAATATCGGTGTGGCATTCTACAAAATCATTTTTCGACCGCCCGAGGGGGATCTTCTGGTCTCACTGCTGGTCAGCTGCATTGTGTTTGTCTCCCAAATTGTTACCATGACAGGCGTGTATCTGAATTCTCTCACTCTCTCTCTCTCTCTCTGTATTTATATGGTATATATAATATATAAATTTATGTTTAGTTATTGAGCTGCAAGTGATGTGCCAGTATAAGAAATACTACGAGTTCTGCCTGCAGCTGAAGTGTTTGCGTCTTCACTTTCAATGCGAACTGCAGCAGCCGATTAGTAATTTGCCCTGGATTAGATGTATCAAATTCTATGCTCTGAGTGTCATCAATATCATCGTATTTGTTCCCTCTATATACGTCGTTCTCAATTTCGATTATATCGGCTACTTTTGGTACTCGCTCGGCGCCGTCATCATTAATCGATATCAATGTCTCCTCCTGCTACTCTACGTGGATCTCTTGGGCTATCATGCGGAGCGCTTGGATGAACGGCTTCAGGCCCTGCACAGCTATCGTCAACTGGGCACTCAGACGATATTGGACATACAATTTGAGCAGATGTGCTCCTTGGACTACCTGCTGAGCCTGAAGCGCGCCTACATGGAGCTCTATCGTCTGTTTGAACTCTACAACAGTTTGTTCGGCTGGTCGATTGTCTGCATCTTTGTGGTGATGTTTCTCGACAGCATCATCAATATATATTGGTCGCTTCTTGTGCTTATCAAGGTCTATCAGTTTGGCTTTATCTTCACGACCTGCTCAACTTTTGTGCCATTGCTTATACTACTCTTTACCTTTTGTCATTGTGGAGAGTATTGCAAGCGACAGGTGAATCTGGCTGAGTTCTATATATATCTATATCTATATCTATATCTTTATCTATATATATATCTATATCTATATCTATATCTATATCTATATCTATATCTATATCTATATCTATATCTATATCTATATCTATATCTATATCT